GGTATACAAGTGCCAAGTTTCATGAATCTGACTTTATTATTTTTCCAAATATTTAAAATAAGCTTTTGGAGTTGTATGGCAAGTACCCGAACCTGTCAAGCAATTCCACTAAAACTTCACAAATATATCTGATCTACAATCGGACACGCAACTGCCAAGTTTCATGAATCTGACTTTATTATTTTTCCAAATATTTAAAATAAGCTTCTGGAGTTGTATGGCAAGTACCCGAACCTGTCAAGCAATTCCTCTAAAACTTCAGAAATCTATTTGACCTATAATTGGACACATGACTGCCAAGTTTCATGAATCTGTCTTTATTATTTTGCCGAATATAAAAAATTTGCTGTTGGAGTTGTATGGCAGCCACCCGAACCGGTGCAGCTATCCCATTATAATTTTTAGAGCATGTGTAAAATATAATTGGACACATGTATACAAAATTTTATATTTATAGCTTTATTAGTTTTCGAAATATTCAAAATAAACTCTTTGAGTTGTATGGCAGCTACCCGAGCCCGTTGTCCGAATTAGTCAAATAACAATAGGGTTCGTCCTTGGCACAAAAGAAAAAACTTGTGAAAGTTTGGTGTCGATAGCATTATTCGTTTTTGAGTTATCGTGCGATCGGACGGACGGACGGATGGACGGACGGACGGACGGACGGACGGACATGTCTAAATCGACGCAGAATTTTACGCTGAGCAAGAAAATATATATATGTCCATACCGCAGATGACTCCTTCAAATAGTTACAAACTCCATACCAAAGTTAATATACCCTTCACGAAGTGCAGGGTATAAAAAGAAAGACAAAAGGAAAAATCAAATACTAAATTTTTAATAAAATTCTAAACAATATTATACATATTATACGTTTCCTATTACATTTAACATAAATATAATTTTATATGAAACTTTGAAAAATATAACCCTGTGAAACAATAAATATTGCTTCCTTAAAAAGTAACAAGTTAAATATTAGCAACAAAAGTATTTATAAAATAAATATTACAAATATAGATATTTTTAAGAGTGTTTTTAATATCGTGGCAATAATTTCTTTTAAATTGATATGGAAGGAAAAGATATTCTTCAACCTGCTCGTTTGAGCGTAAATAGTGCCAAGGGAGCTACTCCTAAAGCTCCCAGTAATAGCCAACAAATGAGTATGGACGAACTTAGCGAAATTAACGGACAAGTCGAGCGTTGTCATTCTACGCTCTCCGAGATAATGAAATACCTCAAGGCAGAAAACATGACTCGTAATTTCCAAGAATTGCTAGAGCGTTCGGTTAACAATTATAATCATACGTCTCACTCGACCATAAGAAAGAAACCTGCTGATTTATTTTATGGTAGGAGTACTAATATTACACCAGCCGAGTTCGAAAGAACGAGGTTCACCAACATAGAAAAACTGAAAGAAAAACAGGCAAGGGACATAAGATACCATAATAAACGGCGACAGCCTATGAAAAACTTACGCACCAGTACAGGTTATATTTGTAAAAATTAATAAACGTATCGAATCAAAATTAACACCAAGATTCTCTCGGGAAATAGTATTAGAAGACAAACATACCACTGTAATTACTGAAACAGGGAAGACTATACACAGGAGTAACATAAGGAATTAAATTTTCGTTCCAGATGCCACTTCTGGGTAACGAAATAGGAGATCCAAATATTAGACTTTACAAACTCATACTTCATTCCCATGCGGACTGGTTTCGCGAAAATACAAAGTGGCAATTTCAAATTCATACACTCAATAGACATAAACAAATACGAGGATTACATAGCCCAGATAGTTTCAGTGATAAAATCCGACAAAAACCACTCAATTTCACCATACTTATTTCACGAATTGCATGAAATTCGTAACTTAATTCAAAACTTAAAACCGGCTCGACCCAAAAGGTCAATAAATTTCTTGAGAACCGCGTGGAAATTGATTGCCGGTAGTCCAGACCACGAAGACTTCATGACAATCAGACAACAGATGACAAACGCCTTAGAAAATAATAACAGACAAGTTATAATAAATTCTATATATAATGAGAGGACAAATTACATAAAAAAGATAAATAACGAAATAAAGACACTTCTAAAAACTTCTAGCAACGTGGGCCTCGAACTTCTAATGAGTTTTTAATACAAAATCAAACTCATTAAAGAGGAATTAAGAAATATATTGGGCTAAGGTTGGCGTCATAAATTCAATGATACTATCTACCGAAGAAGTCGATGCTGCAACCAGCATTTTATTGAAAGAGCAATTTAATTTCACATCAATTGAAGAGGACATGAATTTTGCTGAGGTACATGCATATGTAAGAATGTACATATGCATGTTTCTTACAAGAATGTACATTATACAGCTAATTTTTTGAATCATATCCAATTCCACTTTTATTTTATATGTCATTAATTTACCAATCACTCATATTGTCCCATATGAAAAGATACTTTTGAAATCAGTAAAGATTAACAATGTAATCCTGGACTTACCATACAAAAATATTTTCAAATTTAACGCAGCAATATTTGGACAAAAGAGCAAATGTAAAACATCTAATTTCTTAGAAATATGTAAAATTAATAATGTTATAGATTTGTCTAACTCAAATTGTGTCAAAAACTTGCTAACAAATGTAAAAGCAAAATGCAATACCAAATTTATCGAACAAATTCCTTTAGTAGAAGAAATATCAGACGGAATAATTGTACTTAATAATTTTAGCAATTCCATTAAAATAAATTCAAACTTTCATCAATTAAGCGAAACATTTTTAATAAAGTTTCATAATGTAACTTTAAATATTGCAAACAAAACATTTGTTTCAAAAGAAATTTCAAAATCCCACATTTTACCACCAATATACTTTAAAAAGAATTTAAAAATATAATTTCAACAAAAGATATGAACGAAATCTTTATAAATAATCCATTGTAAGTAATTTCATTAGATTCAGTTGCATCACAGCTATAGTCGCATTCATAATAATCGCATTAAAAATGTTCACGACTAGAAGCACAAAAATTGTCATACAAGAAAAGAAAGAAATTTCTTCTTGTGAGACATCTAAACCACAAACGGACATGCCTACAAAATTGGCAATCCATAAAAAACGATTTAGCAATATTCCATATTTTTGGGCAACAAAAGCCCATGTGACAAATTATTTTAATACGTTCCCACGAAAATTCATGAACACTCACATTTCACAATTATTCCCATTGAAATTATTGAAAACAAAAATATCGCACCTCGCGTAGTATTAAATTCACAAAATAATTGTAAAATTTTCTCACACAAATTTGCCTAATCGGCATTTTATATTATTATAAATATCGTTAGCTTTTAAGTTTAGTTGATTAGTATTTTCAATATAATTAATAAACATGCATCGGTACTACACCGTGCAAAAAATTAAAATTGTTGTTTTTTTTTATAAACAACGAGAAAAGAAATTTAACTAGCATTAAGAAATTTCGTAAAAATTTGTTAAATTCCCTTTATCACGGAGACCGTTGAGATTTGAGAACTAGTTCCAGACAAATATTTTACGCATTTTTGATGCTATAAATCCTAGATGGCAAATCATTGGCATGTGTGCCAGACTTGGCACGTTTCGATTTTCTGTGGCACGTTTCGATTTTCTGTGGCAATTGAACATTTTCATATTTTTATTTTATTTATTCAAAATTTTTAAACAAAAAAAATTTGAAAATTTAGAAAGAATTATTTTAATTTGTTTACCACTTGTTTGAATAAAAGACTAAATTTTTTACAATAATAAGTGTTGGTGTAGTAATACCAATTATGTTTTTTCTTTTTATATACCTTGCGCCTTCGTGAAGGGTGTATTCATTTTGTCATTTGTAATAGTTTTTGTAATCACTCCTTCAGACTCCTTCATTCTTTGGTATGAACATGTTATATATTCTTGCTCAGCATAAAATTCTGCGCTGATTTAGACATGTCCGTCCGACCGTTCGATCGATAACTCAAAAACGAATAATACAATCGACACCAAACTTTCACGAGTTGTTGCTTTTGTACCAACGACGGCTGCTATTGTAATTGGCCCAATTTGGACAGCGGGTTCGGGTAGCCATCAGCAACTCAAATGGGTTTTTTAAAATATTCCAAAAACTAATGGAAATATTAATATCAAATTTAGTAAAGGTGTGTCGAATTACGTTCTGCATATATTCTGAAAATTTTAATGGAATGAAGCTGCCATAAAACTCCGAAAGTTAACTTTAAATATTTAAAATTCATGAAACTCAGCAATCGTGTGTCCATTTTCAGATCAAATATAACCCTGAACTTTTAGTGGAATGACTTGACAGGTTCAGGTAGCTCCCATATAACTCCATAAGAAATCTGTAAATATTTGGAAAAATATTAAAGCTAGATTCATGAAACGTGTACACTTACAGGTCAGACATAATATCCGGTAAGATTCTAATCAGTGGTTTAACAGTTTATTTTAAGTATTTCAAGAACAAATTTTTAAACTCAGATTGTCAAAGTGCAGGGTATTATTCTGTCGATTTTACTTGTTCATTACTTACATATGTACATTTTGCAAAGTTAAACTGATGTAATTTTTTTTGTTATTGACAAAAAAAATTATTTGATATATGTAAGAATGTACACTATACAGCTAATTTTTTGAAATTGTTATACAAAGCTATTTTTCACTTTAATTCTCTCATAAAAACTTCTCCCAAGTCTTGCCACCCAGGCTCTAAACAATTAATTATAATATTGTTATAACTCTTTATTGAATTGCTCTGTATTAACACTATATAAATAACGCTTATACACCTTAGAAATAATTTAAAACGAAAGTACCAAACATTTCAATATTAAATCAATTCCTTTAAAAATTATTAATACATTATTGATATAAATTAGGCTTATGACGATTAACATATTATGAATTATAAAATTATAATTAATAATTAAAATCATTCTTTTGCAGTTGTGCAGTGCGTTACTTTGAAATAACTGTCTTATGCCTATATCATAGAACCTGCAATATGTCAATTTTTTACAAATGAATATGAATCACATTAAATAAGTAAAAAAATTAAAACTACAATAATTGAATTACAATTGATTTTACTGTTTATTGTATTATTTATGAACAACTAGAAAATTAAATTAACATTCGAAAATTTCATAAAGTTGTAATACTCGTATATTGTATTAAGTGATTTTAAGTATAGTTTTAAAAATAAAAAAGTAAATCTTAGATTTTATATGAAGTATACATTCATATATACATATATATATATGCATCTCTCTTTCGAATGTGCTGATCGATTACAATATGTTTTTAATACAACATTGAATGGGGAATAGCTTGTGTATATATATATCATACATCAAATTTTAATACTGCAAAAATTAAAAAAAAAAGCAATAGTAGCAAATATACGAAGAAAAATATTTTTTTTTTCAAAAAGCCAATATTAATGCACGTCAGGTTAAGTGAAAGTGGAAAAACAGAAAATTTTGAACGAATTGGAGAGAAGTCGCGTATTAGCGTTACGGCAGTTTTTTCAAAACTAATCAATGGCATACCGGTAACAACTATGTTTTCCAGATTTAAAAGCAGTCCTACTGTTCCACATAATTCAATTGAAAGTAATCCAATAACTTTGCATTTTGAAATTGGTAAACAAAGTGCTTGTGCCGGGCCGGAATGCATTTGGAAAATTCATGATGCCTATAGAAAAAGTGATGGCAAGGTCAGTTAAATTACAATGGAAGTGAAATTATATTGAACATAATATAACAGAAATTCAAAGTTTTACAATTTTTATTGTTAGCCAACTCATACAATCGATAATATGCTTCGAATTTATTATAAAATGACTATATATAGTTCAACTATGTATAAAATATAGTACACTATTGCCATTTATGCATTATTGCACTATTGCTATAATTTTGTTTATATTTTTAATTTTTCTGAAATTGATTGAAAAGATATTCTATGAAATCCAAGTTGAAAGTAAAGCTGACAATGTTATTCAAGTTTGCACAGTCAAAATTATTTAGCAATTTCACGTGATCAATTGCTTATCTTATTCTATGACAGCAGAAAACGGGCGGCTGTGGTGTAAAATATTTTTGTTTATTTGCGTATGATAATTTTTGTTATATGCGTTTAACAGCGTTAATAATAAATAAAATAACATATGATTGATGACTAATGTTTGGTATTAAACTAGAAAAAACTTTAAAAAGAGAAAGCAGTGATTTCACTCCTCTTAAAGAAAAAAATTCTTATTTAAAAAAAAAAATTCTTATTTAAAAAAAAAAATCTTTTTGAAACTTTATAAAATATGTAATAAACGTCAAATTTTTCAAAATATCTACATATACCTATATATTCTTCTTTATGAACGTACTGTTTATGTTTGATAGGTATTTTGACATGCTTCAAAAAACTCTAAACATTAAAGAAATGCTGATGTTATAATTTTTTCTCAAAAAGTGTTACACGATACCCTTTCCGCACTAAAACTTTATAAAGATTTTTGAAGTTTTACCAAACACTTTACGATTATGATATGATATACATATATATTTAAATCATCCGGTTTATATTTTCTTTATTAAAAGTTTTAAAACGTATTTTCCTTTCAATCCCATGATTTGTTGTAATATTTTCACTATAAGAGCATTTTGATTAAAGAATTCTCTATCAGATATATTAAAACTTTGATTTTCTAATATTATGTTGTATGGTCAATGATAATACTTCCTTCTGTCAGTTAAAAAAAATTAGTTGTTTTATTTCAGGAGTGTTCGGTGTTTCTTTTTGAGAAGAAAAATGCTGAAAAACTGCATAAACCGAAGCGGAAAGGATCAGTTATAGAGCTATTGAAAACATCCATTAAACAACTAGAAAGGTTTAAGCATCCGAAAGTAAGACTTTTTAGACTTTAAAGTTTTTCCTTTTTGTTTTGCAATTTTCTTATTTCTGTTTTTTTTGCTATTTTTTAAAATAAGTATATGTATCTATATTTGTGTTATAAATATTTGTTTAAGCATTATTTATATTATTTTGAGAACACGTATGTTGTAAGTATCTGCTCATGATAGGAAATTTTATTTAAAAAAAAATCTACTAAGTTCAAAGCACATTTTATGTCTACTATGAAACTGAAAGCTCTCTAACTAACTAATAAATTCCACAGTTCTAAATTATAAATTTTCTCAAAAAATATCTCAAAATCACAAATTTTCTTTTGTACAAATACGTATTATCAAGAACTTAAATATAATTGAATTGTAAACATTTTCTTTGATTTATTTTGCCGCTTAACATGTGCGACAACATTTTATTTTCAACAACTCGCTAATATATGATCTACGGTAAATATTTTTGATAATACTCAAATTACAATTACTGTAAGTTTCGAAAACTTTATGTTGTTCAGCATAGAAAGAAATATTTTTATTCTTATGTTACGGATCAAGCATAACTATTATACAAATTTATAATAATGGACAGCCAGACTACCATCAGAACGCTAAATCTATTTTCAGTTTCCTCCAGGGCAGTGTGAGGCTGTTTTGAGAGGTTCTATTAATAATGTAGGTGCAACAGGTTCACACTGTGCAGAATTTCTTTCTGTGAAAGAAACCTTCTTCCTCTGTGGATCATCAGATTTGATTAGAAAACTTTCCTGATTTTATGTTTGTTTTGCTTTTATTCGACTTTACAATCTTCACTAAAATTATTTTTTAAAATGTCTATTTTAGATACTACAAATTATTCATCCAGTGGAAGAAAGTGCAGAGACATTAGCTTTTGCTGCTGAACCTATAATAGCTTGTTTAGCTAATGTGTTAACATATCAGGTATTAATTTCACAATAACTGAAAATTTGCCTGGTCACTTAATTATGAAATTATTCATTTCTGCAGGAAGCAGAAAGTAATTCATCATTAGTGTTGAACACCCAGAACACTGAATCACAACAAAGTACAACGCAGTCAGCTTCAAATTTGCAGAAGGGTTTCTTTATGAAAGAGTACAATTTTCTTGATATTGAAATAAAATATGGGATATTACAGGTAAATTAAAGGTATCCAAAATAATTTTGAAATATTAATCAAAATTTTAGATAACAGAAGCTCTTTCATATCTTCATTATTCTGGTCACGTTGTACATCGAAATGTTTGTCCATCTTCAATCCTTATAACCAATAAAGGAACTTGGAAATTAGGTGGTTTGGAATTTATAGGTAAGTTCCCTCAAGTAAGTCTACCTTATTATCAAAAATTTCAGTACGACACACAATAACTGAAATTTATCACAATTAGTTTATGTTCGCATTATTACCCGCCTTATTATGTTTTATAGATCTGGAAGTAATGCCAATACTTACATTTTCAATATAAAAATTGAACTTATCTTTCTATCGGGTAGAAAATTTTCAATGAATTCTATGAAAATTTTTAATATACGTAGATATTTTATTTTTTAAAAAATAAAATATGTACATATGCTGTATAATATGTGAATTATACAGCAGTTTTTTTTAATTATCGCTATTTTGTACATACAATAAAAAATACAATAAAAAAGAAAAAAAGGTCTTTTGATATTGAATAAAACGAAACGATAATAATCAATAACTGATTTTGATAATATTAACACAATAATTTTTGATAAAATATCATGTATAAGAGAAAAAATATGATGTGGTCACCACATAACCGAAGATTATAAAATTGCGTTTTAAACACATCTTTACAATTTTAAGGACACTAATAAACTTTTAGTTAACATACCTAGAAAAATATGAACTTGGATCTTAGTAGAGTTTCATTATATGCCGTCAGAATTATACCAAAAATTTGTCAGTACCTTCTGATAACAATCAGATCTGTAATATTAAATTTCAAGAAATTCCATCAATTCGTTCCGTAGACAAGGTAAAAAATCGGCCCCCAAATCAGTTTCCGAGCCATGATCTTTCCAAAAAATTTACAGGTTCATTGCTTTAATACCTATAATTTAAATATTTAATTTTAATGAAATCGGTTGATTATTTCTCTTTATATACGCAAAAATGTATATTTGGCCCGTAGTAAACTTCAAGTTGCTAAGACCTGATTTCTTCCAAAAGTTATGAGGTTTCGCGGACGATTAAATGAATCTTATATATGAAATCTTAAGAAAATCGGTTGAATATTTTCTTCAAAATGATGAAAGATACAAAAAAGCCTAGGGCCCGCAAAAAAAGCCAGGCCTAGGGCTGATATATCCCAAAATTTGATCAACCCGTGCCATGGCCTAAATAAACTTACATATAAAATTTCATCAAAATCGGTGGAGCCAAACTTGAGATACACGCGTGCACACACAGACTGACAGATCGACAGACTAAGAGACCGACATGTTGCTTCCCTACCATTTAGAAGTGCGTTCCCACAGAAAAATCGATATGCAAAATTTGTTGCCATCGCATAACCTACAGTATAAAAGGAGTATAAAAAAAAATGATTCAAAATTCAAAAAATATGATTCCTAATTAATTTTAACATGTTTACAGAAAAACTCAATGAAACTGATATTGGAATTTCAATCGATTGCCCACCGTGGAGCTCCAGGATTTCAAAAATGATGCAGCCGAATCTAGATTATTTAGGTAATGTCATTAAGTGTCTTTATTAAGAAACTTAATAATAATTTTAAAATTAGAATCAATAAGTTTTTATGGTTATGATCGTTCAGACTAGTAACTATGCCGACCGAATTGTATAAAATAATTCGGTATTGTGACCAAAATAAATTTTTATACGTTTCGCCAAAAGTGTCGACACGGCTCTTTTTCTCTAATGGAAAACTGTAAGAAGATATTTTCAGAAAGACATCGCTTTGTCTGCTTTTTTATAAATTTCCATCAAAATGTATATTTTGGTTGATTTTTTTAATGCTACGAAACGAAACGAGTCTTTCAGTGTACTATGTACATATACATTATTCAACAAAAAATTCTTCTAGAAGTTTTTCCAACAACTGTAACAACAAATTGTATTCAGGTTTTCTCTTTACTAAAAATTCCGTTATCAATTAGTTATGAAAATAATTTTGATCTAATTAAGGCAACTTACTTTAGGCAATATATTAAAACATAGTTTTAACATATTCGTTATTACAGTTTAAAATAGGTTTAAAATCGAATAATACGTTGACGATTTCACAACTGGAGGAGAAATATTTAATTTATTATATCGGTACGTACGTATGTTTGAAGGGTATACTAAATTTGCCTTACCGCTTGTAACGCTATGGAATAATGGTCTGAGATATAAAGTCAAGTGTATGTTTTTGATCAGCGTCGAATTCTGAGTCGATTTAGGTTTGTCTGTCCGTCCGACCGTCCGTCCCAACGATAACTCAAAAACTAATTGAGATAATTTCACCAAATTTTCACAAATGGTTCATTGCAGTAAATGCCAGAACGCTATTTAAATTTGATATGATCGGGGTACTCGTTCTAGTAGTTGCCACACAACTTCAAAATTTATTTGAATATATTTTAGTCCAATAACTTGACTATACCTTAGAAACCATAAGAGCAATGGAATTAAAATTTTGCATAAGTAAATACATTAGTAATGCCAGTGTGTTTGATAAAATTTGTTGAAATTGCTTGGCTCTTTTTGGTAGCTGTCATACAATTTCGATAGTAGTTTGGCCATATCTTAGAAAATATTGAAAACACAGAGCTGAAATTTTGCATAAATTAATATGTTAATACGGCAACTTAAAGTCATAGTTAGCCACATTGTCAGCTATGGCATATTTATTTGCACATAGGATAACAAATTCGTACGGGTATCACAAAGTTGACACGGTCGACTCCATTTTGGTTGGGAATTGGTTAGTTTTAAAAAACCAAGAGGAAAAAAAGTTGTAAAACGGTTTAAAAAAAGTTGGAAATTGTAAGTATACATTGTATTGTAACCGATTTATGACCGAAAATACAAATTTAACTTACTCTGACACTATCATTTAACTTACGCTATAAACAGGCTGACATTGAATAATGTAGGAGTTGTTTTTCATTTCATGCTCATGATTATTCATGTCGACTGTGAGACGTTATTTAGATTTTATGAGAGAAAGTGATTTTAGTGCAGTGGTTTAATATAATATAAAAGCAGTGAATTACAATTGAGAATATAATAATATAAATATTTATTTAAATATTAAGAAAATGGTTAATTATTAAATAAGTAACAGTTTTAAAAATACATATAACATAAAATAATCATAAAATGTGTAGCGAAAAACAAAAAACTTTAGTCTAGCTGTAAAATTTTTGGTAAATGGGAAACGACCTTAATATATGAAAAAAGTATGAAGTGTAATCTTCGAAAATGAAAACTTTCATCAGCAGAAAGTCTCTGTCAATCATGCAGATCATGTAGAGGGTTTTGATTTGAGCGTTTTTAAGTAAATATACTTATTTATTAATTTTCTTCTCTATACAGTGGGTAATTTCAATATTCGAACTTCTTCTATTGATGGGAGCCTGATAAAGAACCAAAAGTACGTACGAAAAAATTTATAGATTTTAATTTTCCTCAAACTTTTTTTTAGCTTCGGCTGTTAACGAAGAAACCGTTCAATATATTACAGTTGATGATAATGCGCATACATTTACAGACAGCATAGCGAATGATTTACAAAACGCAATGGAATATAATATTAAAAGAGAACTTAATGCGCTAACAAAACAAGTTAATTACATAAAAATGGATATTGTGGATCTAAAAGTTTCACGATAAAAAACGCTGAATTCAATTGTTGCAAAAATGAAGACTCCAATTGAAGATTGTAGTGATCAGTTAAACCAAGACTAACTTTTTGAATTTCCAGTGTCAACCAAAGAAAGTTTAAATGAATTCGAGGAAAAATTAAAGTCAAATTTCATGTTCAAAACAAAATGATATAATTAAAATTATGTAACTTGCTCTTTGTTCAATTATTTATTTTTTATAGAATTCAAATCGAATATGTTGCCGTATTTTTGAGTATCTTTTCAAAAATGAGTTACTGGTACAATAATCGTGGAATGGAACTTTTACAAAAGCAGCCTTTCATATATTCAAAAAAAAATATTACATTTAGTATTCAAGGAATATTTGAAACATCCCGCATTTTGCATTAAAAAAATAAGGTATGTTTATGTTACTATGCTTATACTAATTTATAAATAACTATATTTAACTCTATTATTATTATTTTTTCAGAAAAGAGAAAGAAAAAATTTTGGAAAGTGGATGCAGAGCAGAAGTGGAAGCAGAATGATTTTAATTAATCAATGTGTACTTACTATTAGTAGAGCCGGTATATATTAGTTGTAAATATAATGTTTAATCCAAAAATTGATTCTTTAAATAAATGCTACGAGAATTATAAAAAAATTTAAATGGTTTTAAGTATATGTCTAAAGCAGTGCTGTAGTTTTTGCTGCAATTGCAAGTTTCTGTTAGCACCATTTACTGCAACACTGCAATTTCTTTCTTTTTGCTGCAATTTTTTATTAAAAAAACAAATTATTTTTTTGTTCTTTTGTTTTAATGTTTATTTAAAGTTTCAAACCAAAATGTCACAAAAATCATTCAAAAAAATTATATGCGCCAGCACTGAATTTTTTTAATAGCAAATTTTTCAAAAAAGAAAAACATACTAATTACTATCTTAATGTTAATCGAAATACGCCACACGGCAACTACGTAAGTATCCAACCTAAATAAAAACGCTCTACGTATGTACATTTTCTGTCAAAATAATTTAAGATTTGTATATTGTAATATATACCGAAATACGCGACGTAGTGTACGTCCAGCTTTTAAAATATAAAAAAGTTGGGTCAAACCAATGGTTTGTATTGTAGCACTTTTCCTTTCAACAAGTGAAACTACTGCTTCTAAAAATAGTTTAGTTAAAAATATTATTATTAAAATTACTTTTATTCATATACGGAACTATTTCATTAAGCACTGCATACATTTAGCATGAGCGATTTACGCAGTCTGAAATAAAGCAGAAATAAATTTAAAGAGGTGTTATTATAACGCTTTAATTTAACGGGTAATTGCGTGAGTTAAGAAAAATAATTATATTTTTTAATTGCGTGGAAGTAACTGTTAGTTTTCTGCGTTTGTAAAAATTTGGAAAAGCTGGCAGATTTTAAAATATAAGGCGCTAAAAATTCAAATTTTACAAATTTCGAGAACCGATAACTTGAGAGGGGTGGAGGTAAAAAAAATTTTCTTCAATTAAAATAAACTATTTATTAGTGTCTAAAAACTATTAAAATTTCAGATTTTTACAACCTGGGGTCTAAAAAAAATCAAATATATAAAAAAAAACATCAAATATATGGAAAAAAATATATTTTGTATAAGGATAAATTTTAACGGCCATTTTGTTTTTTCAAGTTCAAGTTTGGTGTGCCGCGGTAGAAGAAGCCAGTCACTATTTTGGTGTGTTTTCAAAATTTGAAAAATGCTTATGGTTTCAATACAGTAAATAGTTAAAAAATGGCGTTTTTAGAGTTTTGAGGGGTTAACTTTTAGACGGAGGCAAAAGTTTTTAATAAAAATTGTGTACATATAAAATTCCAGCTTTCTATCTTCAAGGGTATAGAAATTTTGTAAACATGTCTACGGATGGACGGACGAACATTAAAAAAAGTGAATAGCATCCTAAGTAACAATTTTTATCTCATAAGACTCTTGTAGAACTATATTTAAAAAAGAGTAGTAATGTGACGAATGCCTCGCTCGGCCATGAAATTCGCGAACTGCTTCGACTTAAACTGTTTTCCATTATCCGACAAGATAATTTCCGGAGTACCAAACACGGAGGAAATATTTTCCCTAAGGTAGCTACAAATTACAGAAGAATGGAATCGTTTAATAGGCTTCAAAAATGGAAATTTAGATAAATGGTCGAGAACAATAATTAGGCCTATATTACGAGATTTAGATCGGGGGTAAGGACCAACTAAATCGATATAAAGTTATATATATAAAAATTTCGTTTATTTATGTATAAACTCCTTTACATCGCTCGTCATTGACGGCCAAAAGAAATATGTTCGTAATCTCTGCAGCGTTTTTGCAATTCCCCCATGACACTTATTCGGCGGTATGTGCGCATTACCAATAGTTTCAGTGGTCAGTTCCTCAGGAATCCAAAGTCTCCAGTTATATGATTCACGGAGCTGATCGCATCGGCATGTTCTGTAGGCTTACAAATTTTACCATCAATAACCTGAAGATCAGGAAGCCGACTACCGTTGTCGAGAATGTATTGCTTAACTACGTATTTTTGAAATTTGAAAGCATCGGCACTCAAGTCTACCATTGGAGCCAAGTCAATTTGCGATATTTCATCATAATCCCGCCTTGAAAGTGCATCTGGTACGACATTCTGTGAGCCCCGGCGGTGTTCAATTTTAAATCTGAAACCCTGAAGTTTGAGAGACCACCTCGCCAATCTGCCGCTTAAATCGGTTTGACGCATCAGCCATTGCAAACTCGCATGATCCGTGATAATAGTGAAATCTTGTCCTTCTTTAATTATAATTTCTCTGTGAACTATTCAATTTCTGGTCAACATTTTCAT